GGCCGGCAGCCCGCGGGGGCGATGAGCCGCGGCGGCCGCTGAGGCTCCAGGGGCCGGGGCTTCGCGCACCGTCCTCACCCCCCGTCTCTTGCCCACTGGGGCGCGCGGGGAGGCCGAGAGGAATCGGTGAGTAGAGGGGGAGCCTCGTGCCCTTCCCCCCTCGGCGGGCGGCTGGGGCTGGGGAAATGAAGGTGTGGGGGGGCGCTTGGGACGCTCCCCCCTCCTCCCAGAGGGTCCCTGGCGGTGAACAATTGTGGCAATAAGTTGCTTCTCTAGATCGTTCCCGTGTTCTTGGGGGTTTAGAGACAGGAGAAGTGGGGGAGGGAGCCCCGGGAAAGTGTACGTCGTGTCTGCGGTGTTGGGGGGGGGTAGGTCCGGCGGGGTGAGAGTCTCGGGCCGGGGGGGGGGGTGAGCCCAGTCCTGCCCCGGCTCGCTGTCAGTGGCGGTCGCTCTGCTCTTTGGGGGTGAAATGCCTTGCGTGTGTGTGCGCGTGTGCATATATGTGTGTTTGTGTGTGTGTGAGCTGCCTGTGCCAGGGTGTGCTGTGTTTCTGTAAATGGGTACCACCATCGGGCTGGGGGCTAGGAAGGGAGCGCGGTATCCACGGGGCGCGCGCTCGCGTGCACACACACACACGCACACGCACGAACGCGCACGCGCGCCTCCACCTCGAGATCCCACCGGCGCGGGGACCGGGAAGCTGCAGCCCAAGCGCCGGCTCCAGCCGCCGCCGCGGGGCCGGAAGGGAAGGAGGGTGTCTCCCGTTCTGCGCTCCCCAGACGCGGGGCTGGGCGATCCCGGGCTGGGTGGAGAAAAGCCAAGTGTGGAATTGAGCCCCTCGCCAATCCAAACGCGCGCGCGCGCGCGCACACACACACACACACACACTCGCGCACTCGCAACACGCGCGCGCGCGCGCAGCCTCGGGCCCTCATTTAGAGTCCAGAGCTGCTCCCGCAGGCCCTGGCTGACCTGCCCCGAGGACCTGAGCCGCGGGAGGAGATGATGAAAGCGATTTGCTCCGGGAAAGAAAGCAGTTTTTGGTCTTTATTCATTGTGTTTTATTTTTAAACGGGGAGGGGGGGCATTCAGTGGCAAAACGCCTTTAATGCAGTGCCATAAATTTACCCGCCTGCTACCCCCCCCCCCCGCGTCTCTCTCCCTCCACCCCCCCTCCTTCTCTCCTCTCTCACAGCTCCCTTTCTCTCTGGCGATTAAAACAAAAAACAACCCCCCAAACACAAACCCCTGAACCTTTCCTGCACAGGCTTCCCATGTAGAAAGATGGAAACTGGGGACAATTTATCAGGCATGCAGGCTGCAGCTGAGCGCCAGGTGCTGCGCTCCTGGGTGGTCAAAAACTCTCCCCAGGGAAGGGGGTATGGGTAGATAGCAACACCACCGGCCTTCTGGTGGTGGGGCACCGAAAGGGAAGCCTGGTGGTGGTGGCGGGGGGGTGCGTCTGGTGACCTGGTGACTAGCAGCCGCCTGTGATTAAGCTTCCACAGCTGTTGTGCTCCATCCACTTGAGCTGAGATCTTGTTTACCTCGGTTTTCAAATATAGCTGCTGCGCCATGCTCTTCCTGAAATAGGGGCATCAGTTCATTGTGCATGGGGGCATGGCATCCTGCCAGCCCCCCTTCTTTGTCTCTTTCTTCCTTTCTTTTTTCCTTCCTTCCTTTCTTTCTTTCTTTTCTTTCCTCCTCCTCCTCTTCCTTTCTTCCCTCCCTCCCTCCCTCCCTCCCTCCCTTCCTTCCTTCCTTCCTTTCTTCCTCTCTTCCTTTCTTGCTTTCTTCCTTTCTTCCTTCCTCTCTTCCCCCCCCCCCTTTTTGCCTGCCTGGATAACTACATCCAACTTTGAGAGAAAGCTGTCCTTGAATTCAGGCCTTGCAGTTCTCTAGAAGACAATGGTGAATGGTCAGAACTTGAGGTAACTCTCCTTCCTCTCATTGCAATCTACCCCAATTCTTTCTTACAAGTCCACTCTCAAGTCTCCCTTTCATTTAAGAACATATAGAAATCCAGTGGAGACCAGAAGTCAGGACTTACAGAATGGGCTTAGTTGCAGAGGTTATGTCTGTAACTTCATGTCCATGAGAAGGCCACCCATGCAGATTGCTCTACATCCTTCATGTGCTTCCCTCTCTAGTGCTTAGCTTCCATATCTTCTCTGACTAGGCTAGACCCCCTTCTTTTATACACCTAGTATTTGAAGCTGTCTCTTTGAAGTAATTTCAAGATGCACATTCTATTTATTTATGTGATTGAGTAGTGTAGGGCATAGGTCTAATATGGAGAGAGAAAAGGTGGCTGGTGTTTATTCACAGGGTCTAGCACAGCACAGACACTCAAGAAACACTGGGTTAACAAAGGGAATTGGAGGAACCAGCTGCATCTTCCTCAGTGTTCTGGTCTCCTCTCTGCACTATCCTTCCCAACCTCCTGGTAACAGAATGAGCAGGTTTATCAAGCTGACCCTGTTAGTATATATGCCATCCAAGTGACCCTGATAGAAAAACATTGCCTTCCCCTGTGCCCCTCTGTGGGCTGGGACCCTGGCTTTCTTTGCTCATCTCTGCCTTGTTTCTGTGCAAGGCAGCTCCTTACACCGTTAGGGTATTGTTCATGGGCAGTGATTGTGGCATTATCACACCAACATGGTTCACTTTTTGCTCCTAATCTGGTCTGGGGGAAAGTCATCAACTTGATTCCTTTTCAAACTACCAAGGTTGATAAGAACAGAGGAATAGCTCCTCTTCTCTCAAGCATAGTTGCTTTACCTAGGGGATACGTATATTGGATTCTAGAAGAGAAAGACCTTTATTTATTCATTCATTCAGCCAGCCATTTATTGATGAACATTCATGAACCACCTACTCTGACAGGCAGATGCCAGGTATAGAGGCAAGTAAAATAGAACGATCCATTTCCTCATAAACATACCAACCCATTGAACAGGCAGTTACTGGATTGGGTGATTTCTGCCAGTAGAGGGTAAGTGGCAGGTGAATGGAAGCATCTGTGAAGAGCATGTCCCTCCATGGGGCCCTGAGGAGGACTTGTAGGGACAGCTAAGCCCAGAATGGAAGAATGAGCCAGAGTCCACGTGGGGAAAAGCAGGGAGAAAAAGGGAAAGAAGGTAAGACAGTATCAGGATCCATATGTAAAGATGTGAAGTGGAGAAGGACTGCAGAGAGTAAAATGTAAAGGTGACTTTGGAGAAATCATAGAATCAAACCTTGAAGGGCTTGTACTCCATCAAAATAGTTCCACTGAGTTTTCAGTGAGGGGTTAAGAAAGCTTTAAGTCCTGAGATGAAGAGTCAGATACACATTTTTAGATGGTATACTGGAACTCGTATGTAGGGTGAGAGGGAGGCAAAGAAGTAGGAGGTTGTTGTAGACACCAGGTATGTGGTCTTAGCAGTTTTTGTGTCCAAAGTTGAGATGCCCTTTCTAGGACAGAAGGTCCACTAATTTTCTTTAATGAAATTGGTTTGTGTTTGCTTTTTGAATGGGCAGGGCAACACAGAGGAAAGGTGAAAAGGTCTAGGAGGTATAAGACACCTTTTCTGACCCACTGAGAAGCACAACAAGGCCACTTCCCAAAGATTAGAGATAGACAGGTGTTTGAAGGCTAGGGACAGCTTCCAGAAGGAGCCTAGAAGGATAAGAAAGATGTTTTTATGTCTACAGGTAAATCTGCAGAGACTAAAAGACCAGACTTGTAAACAGGAAGAATCACATGTGCATATAGATAGACTTAAAAAATGATATGGAGAATGAATAAAGGTGAACTTCTGGAATCCAGGGTATTTGGTTGTGGTACATAGTGCAACAGCTAAGAAAACTTCTCTTGGGCTGGGAAGGTGGCTCAGTGGTAGAGAGCTTGCCTTGCATGCATGAGGCCCTGGTTTTTTTTTGTTTTGTTTTGTTTTTTGTTGGTCGTGGGGCTTGAACTCTGGGCCTGGGCGCTGTCCTTCAGCTCTTCAGCTCAAGGCGAGCGCTCTACCACTTGAGCTACAGCGCCACTTCCGGTTTTCTGGTGGTTTATTGGAGATAGGAGTCTCACGGTCTCTCCTGCCCAGGCTGGCTTTGAACCGCGATCCTCAGATCTCAGCCTCCTGAGTAGCTAGGATTACAGGCGTGAGCCACCAGCGCCCGGCTAGGCCCTGGTTTTGATTCCTCAGTGTCACATAAGCAGAAAAAGCCGGAAGTAGCACTGTGGCTCAAGTGGTAGAGCAGTAGCCTTGAGCTGCAGAGCTGATGGACAGTACCCAGGCCCAGAGTTCAGGGCCCACAACCGACCAAAAAAAAAGAAAAAGAAAACTTCTCTTTCTTCCTAGATAACATTTGGAAGAAACGAAGTGGCATTTACTGTCCTGGTGCTTAGATTAACAGTAGGCTTCCCTGGGTATGTGCAGGAATGTGGGGTCATATGGGGACTGGATCAGGAAGTGGGACTAGGAACTAATCCTATCCTGGCTTCCATGTGGTGCTTTGCAAATCCCCAGAGAGGACAGGCCCTGAAAAGTCCTGAAGAATGAAGGGGACAGTGTGACTAGGTCAGCACTCTTCCTTTGTACCTATTTCCCCACTGGATTCCTTATCTTTCCCTCACTCTAATCTCAGGAAAAAAAAAACACAAAGAAACAACTGGCCTGGACTCTTGTTCTTGTCTGAGGTCTTGCTCTTTCAGTCCAGGATCCTATCCCTTCACAAAGCCCAGACTAAAAACTCCATCACTTGCTCAATTTCCCCTCCCTATCATCCTCTCCCTCCACCTTGCCTTCAATTTGAAATTTTAGAGTAGTCATTTCCTTATGACTCATCTAAACCTTTGTGTCTAATTTTTCTCCACCTTCTGCTCAAAGACTTACCCTTCCCCAAGTTACAATGGCATCTCTCCCTCCTCACCTCACGTCAGATGATACTGACCCTTAGCTCCTTAGAGTTTTCCTCTTTGGGCTTCTTGTCCATCAAACTCAGTAGGGTCCCATAGACTCTCCTCATGGATCCTCTTCCATTTCTACTCCAAGATTCTCCCCTTCCCAGTTTTCTCTCTCTCCATTGTCCCACGGCAGTCTCCTTCAGAGAACTCTGCTGTTCCTTCAGGGCAGACATTT